GTGGGGAAGGGGCCGGTGGCCGCAGCCATGCAATCGTATGCCCGAGCATGGGGGCTGCGCCTGGGCCGCGGAGTCGGGGGCGGACGCCGCCTGGTTGGGGGCGCGGGGCCGCAGTGGGCGCCGCGGAGCCGGGACCACAGTAGCGGCGGAGGGGACAACGGCGCACCTGGGGCCTCGCGCCTCCTCGAGCGCCTCCTGCCTCGACACGACGACTTCGTTCGGAGGCACATCGGCCCCGGAGACAAAGACCAGAGGGAGATGCTCCAGGCCCTGGGGCTGGCGGTAAGGATCGCTACCCGGCCCGCCCGGTTCTGCCCGCGCGGCCTCCCGGCCCGAGCTCTGCTGCGCTCCGCGTGGCACCCGTCCCGGGACCCGGCCCTGGCGTGGACTCCACGCGAGCTCGCGCGCGGGGCCCCCTGCCTTCCCCCAGCAGCGTGCTTTCTCCTGCACCTGCTCTTCGTGCCTCAGAGCTGTACGTTTCTAAACCGGCCCTTGCAGCCCCGCGGATGAGCCCTAAGTTTGCAGGAGGAGAAGGGAGATTCCCTGGTTAGGGTGGGTTTATCCGGTTATCTCCGGTTGCCGACTGAAACCCAACCCGGAGTAGCCGAATCACCACCCAGCTCATGATTTTCTTTCCTCCAAATGATTTCTGGTTTGCTCAAAGTTTCCTTTTCTCTTGAAAAAGAAACCCTAATTAGGCGATTTAAATGAGGTTCCCACAAGCCTTTGTGGATGCAAAACACAGACGCGACTCTTTTAACTCAGAGGCACTTTCCTCTGATTTTAGAGTTTACCGATTTGCGTTTTAATTTTAGAGCATTGATGAACTGATCGAGAAGACGGTCCCCGCCAGCATCCGCTTGAAAAGACCCTTGAAAATGGAAGACCCTGTGTGTAAGTGGGCCGGAGGGCTTTCTTACACTCGGCTTGCTCTGGCCTGTGTGCCTTCTGTGGTCTCTGCAGGTCCGATTCTGGGGTAGGATTGGCCAGGATTGGGGGTACATTGATTGAAAGAAAACAGCAGTGGGTTTCGGGGGCCGGGAGAGGGTGGGCTCTTTGGTTCCCCGAGCAGCCAGTTCCGCACTCCAGGAGGCCGTGCAAAGGAACGTGTGCGAGGACCCCGCACTTCCCAGGCACCCCTCTCACGGGCCAGGGGCTCGCATCCTTTGGATTCAGAGGGGTCATCATCTCTTTGCAGATCGAGATACACCCAGAAAGGAAAAACTAATTGCCTACGGTCAGGCAACTTCAGAAGTGACGAACATGGGAGTGGACCCAGACATCTGGCCTCCCTAGCCCAAGCTTCTTTATATCTCAGTAGCTTCAAATTGTTCTCTTATCTCACATCCAAATATTACTACTTACCTGCTGAAAGTTAACTGTACTTTTCAGGTCCAAATGGTACTGCTTGGTTATGAAAGCTCATTTTATTCAGACCTTATTAGAATTTTATTTTATTTTAAAAATGTTTTTAATGATCACCCTTCAGAGGTATTTTTATGTGGGTACTTGACTACCATGGAGTGAGCAAAGCTGAAGTGTCTTTTTTTTTTTAATGGGAATGAATTATCTGGTTATCTCATTTTCTTTTTCTTTCTTTTTTTGATTATCTCATTTTCTTTTTGGGGGGGCCAAGGGGAGGGAGGTTGGCCGGGATGGGGATCTGAATCACTTTCGGTCACAGAGATGCTTATCCCTTGTATTTCTGGAATCAATGCAATTGTTTTGTTTTTAGGATAGAAAGGATATATAGATGGCAAGCTTTATTTTGTTTTAAAGTGGGCAACTTGAGGAATGGAACCTGTCTGGCACCAGTTGGCTAATGCTGTACCTCAAGTCTGTTGAGAATTGTTTCAAATCTGATGGCAAACTTGCTCATAGAAGAAAATTTGCACATTTTGTTGAATTGAGACCTAGAGTTGGCTGGAAGTCTTATCTATTTAAATTTTAGAAAATCAGAATCCTGACTCATTGGATGTTTAAAGAGTGAAGGGTTGTGTATTTTTTTTTTTTTTTTAAGATGACCGGTAAGGGGATCTTAACCCTTGACTTGGTGACTCTCCCGAGTGAGCCACGGGCGGGCCCAAGGGTTGTGTATTTTTTTTTTTTTTTTAAGATGACCGGTAAGGGGATCTTAACCCTTGACTTGGTGTTGTCAGCACCACGCTCAGCCAGTGCGTGAACCGGCCATCCCTATATGGGATCCGAACCCGGGGCCTTGGTGTTATCAGTACCGCACTCTCCCGAGTGAGCCACGGGCGGGCCCAAGGGTTGTGTATTTTTTTTTTTTTTTTAAGATGACCGGTAAGGGGATCTTAACCCTTGACTTGGTGTTGTCAGCACCACGCTCAGCCAGTGCGTGAACCGGCCATCCCTATATGGGATCCGAACCCGGGGCCTTGGTGTTATCAGTACCGCACTCTCCCGAGTGAGCCACGGGCGGGCCCAAGGGTTGTGTATTTTTTTTTTTTTTTTAAGATGACCGGTAAGGGGATCTTAACCCTTGACTTGGTGTTGTCAGCACCACGCTCAGCCAGTGCGTGAACCGGCCATCCCTATATGGGATCCGAACCCGGGGCCTTGGTGTTATCAGTACCGCACTCTCCCGAGTGAGCCACGGGCGGGCCCAAGGGTTGTGTATTTTTTTTTTTTTTTTAAGATGACCGGTAAGGGGATCTTAACCCTTGACTTGGTGTTGTCAGCACCACGCTCAGCCAGTGCGTGAACCGGCCATCCCTATATGGGATCCGAACCCGGGGCCTTGGTGTTATCAGTACCGCACTCTCCCGAGTGAGCCACGGGCGGGCCCAAGGGTTGTGTATTTTTTTTTTTTTTTTAAGATGACCGGTAAGGGGATCTTAACCCTTGACTTGGTGTTGTCAGCACCACGCTCAGCCAGTGCGTGAACCGGCCATCCCTATATGGGATCCGAACCCGGGGCCTTGGTGTTATCAGTACCGCACTCTCCCGAGTGAGCCACGGGCGGGCCCAAGGGTTGTGTATTTTTTTTTTTTTTTTAAGATGACCGGTAAGGGGATCTTAACCCTTGACTTGGTGTTGTCAGCACCACGCTCAGCCAGTGCGTGAACCGGCCATCCCTATATGGGATCCGAACCCGGGGCCTTGGTGTTATCAGTACCGCACTCTCCCGAGTGAGCCACGGGCGGGCCCAAGGGTTGTGTATTTTTTTTTTTTTTTTAAGATGACCGGTAAGGGGATCTTAACCCTTGACTTGGTGTTGTCAGCACCACGCTCAGCCAGTGCGTGAACCGGCCATCCCTATATGGGATCCGAACCCGGGGCCTTGGTGTTATCAGTACCGCACTCTCCCGAGTGAGCCACGGGCGGGCCCAAGGGTTGTGTATTTTTTTTTTTTTTTTAAGATGACCGGTAAGGGGATCTTAACCCTTGACTTGGTGTTGTCAGCACCACGCTCAGCCAGTGCGTGAACCGGCCATCCCTATATGGGATCCGAACCCGGGGCCTTGGTGTTATCAGTACCGCACTCTCCCGAGTGAGCCACGGGCGGGCCCAAGGGTTGTGTATTTTTTTTTTTTTTTTAAGATGACCGGTAAGGGGATCTTAACCCTTGACTTGGTGTTGTCAGCACCACGCTCAGCCAGTGCGTGAACCGGCCATCCCTATATGGGATCCGAACCCGGGGCCTTGGTGTTATCAGTACCGCACTCTCCCGAGTGAGCCACGGGCGGGCCCAAGGGTTGTGTATTTTTTTTTTTTTTTTAAGATGACCGGTAAGGGGATCTTAACCCTTGACTTGGTGTTGTCAGCACCACGCTCAGCCAGTGCGTGAACCGGCCATCCCTATATGGGATCCGAACCCGGGGCCTTGGTGTTATCAGTACCGCACTCTCCCGAGTGAGCCACGGGCGGGCCCAAGGGTTGTGTATTTTTTTTTTTTTTTTAAGATGACCGGTAAGGGGATCTTAACCCTTGACTTGGTGTTGTCAGCACCACGCTCAGCCAGTGCGTGAACCGGCCATCCCTATATGGGATCCGAACCCGGGGCCTTGGTGTTATCAGTACCGCACTCTCCCGAGTGAGCCACGGGCGGGCCCAAGGGTTGTGTATTTTTTTTTTTTTTTTAAGATGACCGGTAAGGGGATCTTAACCCTTGACTTGGTGTTGTCAGCACCACGCTCAGCCAGTGCGTGAACCGGCCATCCCTATATGGGATCCGAACCCGGGGCCTTGGTGTTATCAGTACCGCACTCTCCCGAGTGAGCCACGGGCGGGCCCAAGGGTTGTGTATTTTTTTTTTTTTTTTAAGATGACCGGTAAGGGGATCTTAACCCTTGACTTGGTGTTGTCAGCACCACGCTCAGCCAGTGCGTGAACCGGCCATCCCTATATGGGATCCGAACCCGGGGCCTTGGTGTTATCAGTACCGCACTCTCCCGAGTGAGCCACGGGCGGGCCCAAGGGTTGTGTATTTTTTTTTTTTTTTTAAGATGACCGGTAAGGGGATCTTAACCCTTGACTTGGTGTTGTCAGCACCACGCTCAGCCAGTGCGTGAACCGGCCATCCCTATATGGGATCCGAACCCGGGGCCTTGGTGTTATCAGTACCGCACTCTCCCGAGTGAGCCACGGGCGGGCCCAAGGGTTGTGTATTTTTTTTTTTTTTTTAAGATGACCGGTAAGGGGATCTTAACCCTTGACTTGGTGTTGTCAGCACCACGCTCAGCCAGTGCGTGAACCGGCCATCCCTATATGGGATCCGAACCCGTGGCCTTGGTGTTATCAGCACCGCACTCTCCCGAGTGAGCCACGGGCCGGCCCCCAAGGATTTCTGAAACAGAGTTAGAAATTGAAATATATCTTCTCTTGTTAGAAGGAAAAATAATATCTTTACATTGAGTATGTTTTTTGTGTGTAAATATGTTACAAAAGAAGGAAAAAACTCAGAAAGGCAATACCTTCTTCACTGAGAAAAAGGAAATGGCAAAATGCAACGTGCAAAGCATAATTAGGGAAGTACTCGAGCATGTTGTGTATTATGCTTGGTAGAATCTTAGTGTAATCATGCTGTCAATCATTTGGGGGTATTTAGAAAAATGTGGATTATATCCTGAGGGAAGTGGAGAGGTAAAAAAATATATGTATATTTTTTGGTAGCTGGCCGGTACAGGGATCCAAACCCTTGACCTTGGTGTTATAACACCGTCCTCTAACCAGCTGAGCTAACCAGCCAGCCCAACAGATTTATTTTAAAATAGATGAATCCTAAAATAAATTATAATCAGTTTTTTTTCCTTCCTTTTAAAATTAGAACACCAAAATAGAAATTTCTGTCTTTTTTTTTCCTTTTTGTCTTTTTTCGTGTCCGGCAACGGATCGCAACCCTCAGTGTCGCGCCCATACCGGACCGGGACCAGCAACGGGATCGCAACCCTCGGTGTTGCACCCGCACCTCGCTCAGCCAGTGAGCAGCCGGTCTGTATGTGGGATCTGAACCCTCAGCGGGAGCGCCGCCGCGCTCCCAAGCGGCGCACTGTAGCAGTGCGCCACCGGGCCGGCCCGAAATTTCTGTCTTTATAAAGTATTATTTTGAGCATTAACATTGTTTTGGGTTTTCTTATTTTTTGACACACAAAAGATACAAACATACAGACATATGATGATGAGGGGCCAAACAGGTCATGCGATTGGGAAGAAGAAAATGTAAAACTTTCCTTTTGTCTTCCTCTTGTTAAAGGATCATTTGAATTAATATAACATCATTAAAGATATTTTATATAAAGGCAGTTACTTCTATAGGATTATTTATTAAATTGACTCTTTTTTTTGGAAAAGCCATTGTATTATCTCTTGCTGCATAAGAAATTACTGCAAAATGGGATGGCTTAAAACAATAATAAACATTTATTATCCTC